TCATTAATAATTTATTATTATTAACAATTCATTATTATTATTATTACTATTTATTTATTGTTATTATTTCAGTTTTATATAATATTTATTAATTTACTATAGTTATTATTATCTAATATCTTAATCATGTGACTGATGTTGCATTGAAGTCTGCATCTTTTAATTATTTGTGCATTATTAATTTATCAATTTCTATTTAATGTGATTTTAACCCCTTCTTATCCAACATAATTTGCTAATTATGCATACTTAATTTTACCATTTAAACAATAGGCCCTAAAATAAGGCAATGTATTCACATCTATGATAACAAAAACTGAAATATAACTGAATAATTAATTTGTTCAACATGTAGATCTAAACCTACATGTAGGTTTCACATTGTAAAATAATGTATAAAATAAACATTTAAACAGGAAATACCTCACCTAATACTGTAAGGAACTAAACTACTAGCTCTACTAACATCAGTCACCAATTTATCTCATACAACAATTCATCAAATGTCAGGAGTCATCACAAGACGCTGCTGATCACCATCGCATTTATTTCCACATTTCCCATACAGACCAGTACGGCAGTAGTGTATTGTCTTTAATCACATATTCTTCCAATCTCGTCCAGCAAAAAGAAAATTATAGATCTATTTTGAAGATTTAAAAGCAAATAAAATATATTTTAAAACTGATTAATAATAACTGATTTAATATGAACCTGTTAGATTAATAGACACATTTTTTCCTAATTCAGGACAATTAGCACAAGTTAACAAAAATTTATTGCTTCCACCATTCTTAACGCCATTGAAAATAGCAAAGTGCACCTACTGACCTAGCTAGATTATCGTATATTTATATATCATTTTTTTTAAGGTTTTCATTTAATACAATCATCATCGTTACCATCATAACTAATAAACCGCGAATGATTTAACATTATAGCGAGATACAGACATAGCTAAACGAATAGCCGTGGGCGAGAGTAGATCCATGGATCGTCATAGTAAAATTGTCAATTTACGGCAGCAGTCAGCATAAAGCTAGACAAAGTACAATCTTATGTTCATTTCACAAAACAATGAATATAAATAATTTAAATTTAAACTGTTCTCGACAACAATCTTTTGAAGATCTAAATCTGAATTGACTAAGAAAACTTCTCTGTCCATATAATATCCTGCTTGATTCAGTGTTCCATGTTCCCACCAAAGACATCAAGAACAAATCCGCTTCAATCGTGGAAAATATCAACAAAATTGCTGCTTATAGGGCACACAGAAAATCACCGACGTCTTATCGATTCATATCTAGAAGATATTACTATCGATTGCTGTTTTGATCAGCGATTTTTTCCATTTTTTTTTCAACAATTCATTTCTTCCATTGTTACAACATTCGACGCCAGCGTTAAAAGGATATGACGTAGATACAGTACCTACGTCATAACCAGGGAAGGGTATAAGTTGTTCCCCAAATAACAGAGACTATTCTATAGAAATAGTCATCAATATTAGAAACCGTGCGTTAAACTTACTATTTTGTTTTCGTTTGACTTGCTATCCAGAAATTGCTTCTTTTACTTACTTCACATCGACAAAGAACGTTTTTACTTTACAGATCTTTCAACAAGATTTTATATGGACTTCTACGGTAATAGGTGTCAATATTATTCTTGGTTTAGTGTTTTTACATGTTTTAGTGAAGGAAGAACACTTATTTTTATTCATTTTTGTACAAAATTATACCGACTCATGTGAATTAGTGAAGCTGAATATGAAATTTTCACACAATAGTCTCGAAAACCATAAAACGTAGGACAACTGCTATTGATATTTAAAGAAAGTTAACTTGCATATGATAGGTTTGGTCTAGTTTTGATTAAGGAAACGATCATCACCTAAATTTATAAAAAAATAATGAACTTACCGAGGCTCAGAAGTCGCCATTATTCTACAAAGTCACGTGATTCTCCACGTGGTACCCATGGACAGAATTGGAAAAAAACAACTGTATTTGTCCTGCCATTGTAACGTATTGTAACTTTTTTAATAACGTATTGTAACATTTTAAAGACATAACAAATATCTAATAATCCCTGGCAAATGATAGCATGTACATTGTATATCAAAGTACAAATCCAGATACAGAAAGACTTCCCGCTCTGGGCGGATATTTCTACAACTGTTCAACAAAGTAACTTATCTAGAAAGTCATAATTATTATGAATTTAGATTAAACAAAGCATGATGAAAGAAGAAATCTATTTTACTATATTCAAAATGATGTGATTTAAGTTCTATGTCTGGCAATATAACAAGTGCATTTCTGCAAAGTTCAGACTAATTGATGTTTTCTGAAAATTTATTGCTCATAAAACTCCCCTTAAAAGACATTACCGTCTGGCTATCTGGAAAGCCTACACGCAAATGAAATTAACTTTCCACGACAATGAATATTTTAGCTTAAAAACTTTCTTAGATAACAATACATCATTGCTATGCAATAATTTTAAAAATTGCAGATTTAATTTTGCTGACATGTTGTGTCCTTGTGAAAAGTTTACTTTGATCAGTTTGTTTCCATGGAAATGTAGTTATACAGAGCGCTTTCATGAGCAGATGTTTGACAATGCCTTATAACTGACTGTTAGGCAAATGCGCGGAGATTAGTTACACACTCATCAACTGAACCAACTCAAATTACAATTAGGTCGTTCCGGCAAGACATCGTACATTGGTGATTTATGCTCTGCGCATTTAAAGGAACTCAACCGAAGTCAAAAGCCTAAAAATATAACATCTTATTTTTACATACATCAACTTGCACACTGAAAACAGATAGATATGCAAAAGTTAATTAAGAAGCATACATGGAAACAAAATCGTATTTTGTGCTATTCCTGGTCCAATGTGAGTGAAAAGCGTTGCAACGCTTCGTAATTGTGTGTCATTTTTTACAATTTGAATTCTGAAAAAAAGGTTGTGAGCGAACGATCAGCATTAAATTGAGTATTAATCTTGAAAAGTATCTCCAGTCTCATTTTGTCAAAAGAAACGTCAGTAGGGTCCCTTTAATAAACAGCCGGAATATTTATGAAATGCACAATTCATACACCATGCAAATACATAGCATGAGTGACATTCTTCTCGAGAAGACACTTGTATAATCGGCCTGTAGAGACTACAAATGTGCATTTACTGCTCTGTGTTATTGAAATTTGGTTATACAAGTAAGAAATCTTTCATGTTTTAAAATTACTCTTGAGAGAAAGGGATTTAACTAACTACTCTGTTAGAGCAGTACATCCAGACACTTGCAGAATCATGATCACACAGACACTTGCAGAAATCATGATCACACAGACGATTGCAGAAATCATGATCACACAGACGCTTGCAGAAATCATGATCACACAGACACTTGCAGAAATCATGATTAAAAAATAAGAATGTATATCGCTTTTTGATGAATCAGGCGTCTTAAAGTGCATTTTGGCGGACAAAAAGCCGAAAATTTATTATTTAATTCAAGAGCCTTGATCGGTATATACCGGAATACGACATTTAGTGTGGTGTCTAACACTTTTTTTCAGTCTCAGTCGAAAGAAAGTGATACCAGTTTTTGAACAATCTCCGCTTATTTCACGTGCATATTAACGTCTCGCCAATCTATAGAATTACATTTACTGTGATTGCCATTAATGAAATAGAACTAACTACATATATCAACCAGTATAGTAATTGACATGCAATAGTGTGTATGCTGCCGGGGGATAAAATTAATTGGCGTCAGTGAATGACAGCTACGTGGAACAAACTTACATTGACCTATTATTCCCTTTCACTAAAACATTTACATTTTATACTAATATATATACTTATACTTTCATTATAGTTTCTCCATGGTTATAACCAACAAAAGGGGTCGCCATGATGTTCACATAACAACGTATAACATAATGTAGTATAACCAACTAAAAGAACAGCTAGTGGATACAATAATTATTTTATCTTGTATAATAGTTTTGAAAACAACAAGCAACTGTTATAGTACTACATGCTTGATTATATAGTTTTCCCAAATAAAAATTCAAAGGAACTCCATTAATTACTTTTTTACTAGTCGTGTCAGGAAACATATTTTTTCGAGACTGATGTTCCATTTAATGTAGGACTATTCAAATAACATGTGTACATAATTTCTGATCATTCTGTCACTGAATAATTACAGAATATTTATTCTAATTGTGGAAAATATCCCAACATTGACTCTAAATCGACCTAAGAAAAGCACAAAAAATACGATTGATTTTCAATATATTTCTAAGTTTATTTTCTAATTATCTTTTGCAATTCTTTCTGTTTTAAGTTCCCCAATTGATCCACATAAGAAATTTAAATTTTATGTTTTCAGGCTTTTGGACCTCAGTCGAGTTCCTTTAATTCAATACAGTTATTGTACGACTGCAACGTTAATTTTCATTGGATAGTCGTATGGTGTATATATTATTTATGAACTGTGGGCACATTTATGAAATAATACCTATTTTTTAATTAATCAAAGATAAGATTTTTCTCGCAGAGTTAACACTTTGACAGGTTATAGTTGTTGTTTGCTGCAGGACCCTAGCCAACCGTTTATAATGGTTCATATAGCATTTTAAATTCCATTTAAACTACGAACGTTATATCAAAGTGTATTGGCAAAACGCCGACCTATTCAGAATGGCGGGCAATTATATGCATGTATGGATGATATGAAGAAATCACCATCGAACACTAGGTTTCTTTCCCTTTTAATTTATTTCATCTGGGATTTTACTTTATGGTTTCTATGAATCATAATGTCCTATATCGATTGTTCATAGTTTAAGGTTTGTTTATATTTAGCATTATTTAGACAACTGAAGGGCAATCATGCAAAATAGAAGAGGTTCATGAATATCAATTTAACATATAATGACAAAACGTTCAACAAAAATCAAAATAATAAACTACAAACCCAGTTCAACTGATGATTTGTAAACCAGTCTTTCTCGTCCATCTTCTCCGGTGTCTTCGTTGAAAATGCTACGCGTAGAGCCCACAACGATATGACGAACATTACAATAGACATAACCGGAAGTGCAATAAACAAAGATCGATGGCTCTGATCGTCTTTGTGCCAGTTCAAGCCGCAGGCAGTACCAGACGATTCGATGGTGTAGCTGAAATTCAAAAGCATTCAATGACAAGGATATTTCACAATAATACTTAGCACACCTATAAATAAGTATGTCCAACAACTTTGTTACCATTTTGAAAAGAAAATAGGAGTTCGACATATGTCTTATTTGTCTTCCAAGAATGATAGGGTGAGCTTACTTTGCAAGTACTATGCACGTACTAGGGAAATAGCAATGACACTGACGTTGTGGATGTACAATCCCCCGGAAATGAACTGCCTGATGATGAAATCCCCGCTAAAAGACTCAACAAAAAATAGTTCCTGATATTTTGGCGCCAAAAAAATTCCCGAGCATTCGCCTAGTGTTACTTGGACAGAAGATTAAAGCTTGGCTAATTAACCTTGACTAATTAACCTTGCTGTCCCCTCCCACTGCCCCGGAAATCGGAGCAGGCTTATAATTTACTAAAAATGAAAATAAGTAATTTAAACGGAAATACCTGTTCCAACCTAAAACCGGCGAAATGGCGATTCCAAAACTGTATATCCAACCAATGGCACACATGATAAGTGAGCGGCTACTCATGTCATCTGAAAATACAAACATAGCATTGTACACGGACTTGAAAACAGCTTTTACCAACTATTAAATTTTTTTCTTGAATGTTATTGGGCGTATTTAAAGTTATCAAGACTTTTGAAGTATTCGTATGAGCTGTTTATTTTTGACGTGTAAATTAATTGTGTTCATAAAATCTTAAGCATTTTTTTTATCATATAAAAATGTTCAAGATTCAAAGTAATTTTAAGACACGTGTATGAAGAGAAAATTTAAGCATAATTCTTATTTTAAAAAAAAACAGAATATAAAAGGTGAGACGACGAGTAAATTAAATTTGAACTGCGGTTAGAAGTTGTTCTTCTATAGTGACCTTAATGTTACCTAAATAATTTGATAAGCCGTTGGCGAGATCTTTCCAAAACGAACAAATGTAATACACGACCAAAACATTTGACCCTTTGAATACAATAACCACAATAAGAATGATAAATTTGGCTAATCACTTAAGACTGAAATCTAGATAATTGTTATACGAGTACATGTAGTTCATATGATCAGTGTCATCTCCTCAATGAATTTTAAACAAGTGAGTTTTAAAAACCACTTTGTTCCACGGATAACCATTTAAAAATATGTATATTTAACAATATTAGATCTAATCAAGATGCATTACTAAACGTAAACGTACGGTTGTGTTTCGGGAGACCTGTAGTTAATTTTTCAGGGATGGTGATGCCGAATGAAACCACACGGTCGAAGTATAATTAAAATATCACTTGAAAACACTTCGTTTTGTTTGTTTAATGTTGCTGCTGTTTTAAAGAGCTATATATATAAGGTGTGTTATTGGTTTTATCTTCCTCATAGAATCCTATATTTCATGTACTGGCTGACAAAATGATTTTTTTCCATTACACCACTATCAGCAAGAACAATACGATGTACAATTGACATCACTGCAATGTCGTGCTATCAGGTGAGACCACCATAGTGGTAGTTTTATTTCAGAATATTTATGTTCAAATCCGTACAAGCAATAACGAAAGGGCCAATGTCGAGGCAAGCCAAATCCGTTAGATATAGTTGAGTCGTGTCATGACAAAATCAACATTGTTTGCGACCAGCATGGATCCAGACCAACCTGCACATCTGTGCCGTCTGATCAGGATCCATGCTGTTCGCTTACAAAACCTATTACAAGTACAAACTGATAGCGAACAGCATGGATCCTGATCAGACTGCGCGGATGCACAGGCTGGTCTGGATCCATGCTGGTCGCAAACCCACTATGTTGGTTTTGTCATGACACGGTTCATTTAATATGGGAAGGGAAAGTGGGGGATATGGGTAAAATTCAAGTTCATATCATACTTACATATATTGAGAAGAGAGGAACTAAAGTAACGTTGTAGACAAAGTAACCCAGCAAACGTCACCGCACCCATGCCACCTGTATAGGTCAGTGCCCCATAGAATTGACATCCAATATCACCAAACAGCCACCTAGTAAAAAAGGTGTTTTAAACTTATTAAAGTAAATTATAATCAGTTTATTTCCCAGTTCATTGACGAAAAGTCCGAGCAAATCCTTTAATTTTTATTGCGAGTTAACAACAGAATAGTTATTGGTGCATGGAAGGAAGAAATAACTTAAGTAGATTGTAACTTTAGTCAGTTTTACAACAAATATAATAAGCCTATCTACATAGGCCCTAGAAAACACGTGCTTTACATGGGTAGGGTAATATGTTGCGTTTCTTTTGTTTGTTTGTTTGTTTGTTTGTTCGTCCTTCCGTACATTCGTCCGTACATTCATTCATTCATTCATTCATGCATGCATGCATACATTCATTCAGTCAGTCAATCTTTCATTCATTCATTCTTTCATTTATATATTTATCTATTTATTCATTCATTCATGTTTTAACCACTATTTTAATTAAGCTATGTTTTCAGTTTATGGGACGATATACATAGGTTACATTTTTATTATCACATATTGAATTACAGCTACATGAAAATCTAGCTCCAAAGAACTGTTTGTGTGAAAAACATTATATGCAATGAATCCATCTTTATCGAGCATTAAGTCCAAGATCTACGTATATAATAACAAATTTATGTTTTTCCCAAGACATATGTCATTCTTATGTACCCAGACATTATGCAGATACCTTGATTTTGCAAAGAATGATATGTCGCCTATGGGCAAAAAATGATTGATACGAATATGTTTCGGTGCGAATACGAAATCGTCATAATTACCTCCCTGCAAACGCTGAAGATCCGGAAAGCGGGATACCAGCAACAATCAGTAGGTTTGAAATTGCAAACTGTATATGCAGCTTGGATCGGCAACCAGACAAGACATTTTCTCCTCGAAGGATTGAAATTATCAGAATGTTTCCGAGTATTCCAAGGAAGCCTGAAAGAAAAGGATGTCACTTCATTTAGTTTATACAGAATTTATTTTATCCAACTGTGTAGGATGGTATTACCTTATAAACATATCCTCGAATCCGTTCCTGCAACCAACAGGTACTGAGCAATAAGTATAAAGAAACAACGTCTTGCCCCTGACGGCGATTAGAGGGCTTTGGTAACATGGTAAAATGTCATAGAACAGAAAGAATCAAGTAGTCTTTGATGATTTGAGGTTGTGTTGTTTTTTTTTTGTTTGTGTGTTTTTTTTTGTTTTGTTTTTTTGTTTGTTCTTTTTTAATCAGCTATTGAAATCAAAATGGTCAATTTAAGATATGAATTATGGTAAAGGCAAAGACGATACCGTTTTACTTATTCAAACATAATATCATGAATCGTAATGAGTCACGAAAACAAACGAGTCACGGAAACTAACGAAAAGAATTAACCACTCTCTGCAGGTCGGTATTCCAACATAATATATAGGAACTGTATGTAAACATGTTAAAGATTTCTCGTTTTCTTGTCACAAAATAATTATGTGGTAGGGAGAAAGCTGGAATATATTTCTTTCTTTGAGAAAAAATACGTCAGAAATGTATATTTCTAACTTATTATTCCAAAACTTGAGAGAAATCATTAGGCCTTGAAAGCATAGCGTGTTTTTGTCAAATATTTCAGGCAGGAAATTTCTTTGAACTAAGTCAAAAGAAGAAATGCTATTTATCTTTGTAATGTTTCACATTAAGAGCTGTTATCTGGAAACACTATAATGGGATAACAGTTTGTCTGAAAAGATCTATCACTTCAAGGAACGTCGGACGAATTTTTTTTTGCACTCCTAAAAGGAAGTTTGTACAATCAAATATTGATGTAAATATGAAACAGAAAGAAAAACGATACACTGTAAAGATATGAAAGATTCCATGTCAATAGTAAAGAATTAATATTTGATATAAATACAATATTCAAGTGAAAATAAAAACCATCTCTTCAGGCAATAGTGTATATTTATTTGGAGCAATTTATAACAATATTTGTGCAAACAAAATCTCTTATATTTTTTATAGAATACAGATCAGCCGAATAGTCATTTAACTTTGTAATTATATCGACAAAAACATGTGCACGTATATTTTCCCTCATAGCTCGCGGCACTCGAAAGTGATGTCAAAAATAAAACATATTGAAAATGTGTCGTGATTGTTGAACAATTTTGAAAAAAATTGTCATTTATTTTAACTTCTTTATGATTTATTTATTATTATGTAAGTTAGTGTGATAATTTTACAGTCAATGGACCCCATTGGAAATAAGCTTTTAGCTTTATTGGCAATCCTAGAGTTACATAGAACATACTCATTAATTAATCTTATAATTAGTTTTGTTGTATTTATGTGTGTTTTTACATATGCAAATTGATATATGTGATAACATTGTATGTGTTTATGTTTATTCCCTGAATAAATCAATACGATGTTCAAATAAACCTAATACATTTTCTTATACAACAGTTACTGTTATGTCTAGCATATGTAATTAAATACAAGTATTATTTGAATTGTCCAAGACAGTGCAGTGTCGGCAGGGTACTTCTATTTGAAAGATCATAACTTTATTTGCACAAAAAGTTGTTACTCCCTTGTTTGTTTGTTTTTTTTGTTTGTTTTTTTTTTTTTTTTTTTTTTTTTGTTTTTTTGTTTTTTTGTTGATGTTTTATTATTATGTGATAAAGTTAATGTTATGGCTCTTGTTATTTATTCCTATTGGCTATACCTTTATAACACGATCATTCTTTCTGCCTACATGATTAGGTAGATTCTGAAATTGATGATTATGTTAGACAATTTTACGGACTTTTGGGACATTCTTGCAGAAATGCGAGCCAAATGTTGTTCTGTTCCACTATAGCACACATTCTCCCCGACCTTTATTTTGTAAGCGTATGAAAAATATAGGCCAACTTTTACCAAATTATGTCGCTTGATTCTTGAAATACTTTATATCCATGTTCTGATTTTTTTTTTAAATGACATCTGTCCCGATTTTCTCTACTCCTAAATACCCAAAATTTAGGAATCATGACGTCATTTACGAAAATCATTAGTTACATTATTTATTTTTCACCACGATTTTCTTCATCATCATAACAATAAAAATAGGCCCGTTCAACACCATCGTCATAATCATCATTATTATCTTCTCCCTCATACCATCATTGTCGTCGTCATCATCATCATCATCATCATCATCATCATCATCATCGTCATCGTCATCGTCGTCGTCGTCGTCGTCGTCATCATCATCATCATCATCATCATAATCATCATCATCATCATCATCATCATCATCATCATCATCATCATCATCATCATCATTAACATCATCATCATCATCTTCATCATCATCATTAATATTACACTATCTTCTTAAGTCAGTAGCAACATTATTATCATACTCATTTCTTTTTAGCTCGTTTGTTATCATTTCTAAAGCATTATCATTTTTAACATTATCTTTATTATCAACAGTATAAACAATATTGTTGTCAGGCCTTAACATTAGCGGTGGTCCGTTGGTCCGAGACCACCTGATTTTGGCAAGGACCACCTAATTTTAAAATGCACTGGTCCGTCGGACCACTTAAATTTTCTGGTTTGTGCAAGGCTCATTTGGGAGAATGGCGACTTGGTCAAAAACATGTTATATATATTTTGTTTAAAACCATTTGTCCTATGAACATGTATATGGTTCATTAATAGATTAATCTGATAAGTTAAAGAAGGTCTTAAATCATCAATAACTTTCATTTTAAGTCGCTAAAATTTTGTCTATGCAAGTTAAAAGAGTTAAGAATTTGTGATATTAAGCTAGGTACAAATTGCATTCAAATGATGCTAGTAATGATGCATCGTCGGATTACCACGGTGGAACCTTTAATATTTATGTTATGTTACATGTTAATCACACATGGGTATCCGACGATGGTAATTATGATATTGTATGGGATACCGTATGAACTTTCAATTTCATATACATGAATAATGGCAGCAAACTAAAGGAACTTGAGAAATACATCAAGTTATTTGCTAGTTATTTTAACTTTTTAACGCTAAGAGATCCATTTCTTCCAGAGTTAAAATTACTTTTTTTAAAATGTTTAATAAAAGGTTAAAAATACTCAATGTAAAAAATAAATATCAACCAACAAGCAACGGGGCGGTAAAAATTCTGTATTCATAATAAATCTGTGAGACAAATAAGCTAAACTATAGTTATATATAAAGGTGTTTTTATTCTTTATCCTTTAAAAATTTCCTTGTTTTAAGATAATTTATTAGTTTTTATTAAAATGTTAATCTATAAAAGATACATGTAATTATCATGATTATAAGACGTACCACGTATCAGCAATGTATATTTGAATAACAGTAAGAAAAAAACCCAGACACAAATGGTTTCACTATTCCCTAACTTGAGTTGAGACAGAAATCACTTCAATATATAAGTTAACACAAATAAGAGCCCTGTTGTGTATTTTTGAATGAGCTATGAAAAAAACAAAAACAAATAACTTCACGACAGAATACCTACTAACTTGCTCTCAGGTAAAAATATATATCTAAAATGTCTGTTTTCTTTAAAGGTTAATAATACATCTTTGTCATCAATTATAAGCATACTTTTTTCTAAACTTACAGTAAACTGATATAGTAATTGACCACTTGACTTCTGGAAGGACCACCTTAATTTCAAATCTAGTGGTCCGGCTTACCACCTGATAAAAAAGTTAGTGTCGAGGCCTGGTTGTTACTTATAGTAGTGGTGTTGCCTTCGTTTTTGTTATTGACGGAGATGATAATTATTCTTCCCATATTATTTTCATTATTATTATCACAATTATCACTTGTGAACATATGTATCAACAGGGACGGTGTATTTGTTCGTTCGTTTGTTTACATTAACTGAAGAACTAAAATAACAATTACATCGTAGGAAAAACCAAATAAATGTGTGCCACGGGTATTCTATAAATTGGTTATTTTCTCGTGAAATGACATTCCTGTAAACATATATTCAAATTAAGTCTATAAGTGCTATTTATAATTAGATTATCAGACTGGAATCAATACACTGATGTATTATCATCTTTGTGCAATTTTGACTGGTTGTTTTACCCTTACCGTGCCATATTTTAAATGTTCTTGTCAAACTTATTATCTAGACAGAACTAGTCATCATTTTTTGTAATAATCAAAATATGTATTGGGTTGAATAGCAACACTGCAGGCCATGATCGGACGGCAGGGATATTTGTTTGTTTGTTTGTTTGTTTATTTATTTGCTTATTTGTTTGTTTGTTCGTTTTTTCGTTCGTTCGTTCGTTCATTCTTTATTCATTCATTCATTCATTTATCATTCACTCGTTTGTTTGTTCGTTCGTCCGTTCGTTCGTTCCTTCGTTCCTTCCTTCCATCATTCCTTCATTCATTCTTTAATTCATTTATTAATTAATTTATTTTTTATTTGTATATTGTTATTTATTTATCTATTCATTCATTCATTCATTCATTCACTCATTCATTCATTCATTTCTTTATTTATTTATTTATTTATCTATTTATTTATTCATTCATTCATTTTTGTATATCATTTATTTATTTATTTATCTATCTATCTATTTATATATTCAATAATTCATTTATGTATATTATTTATTTATTTATTTATTTATTTATTTATTCATTCATTCATTCATTCATTCTTTCTTTCTTTCTTTCTTTCTTTCTTTCTTTAATTAATTTATTTATTTATTTATTTATGTTTTTATTTATTTATTTATTTATTTATTTATTTATCTATTTATTTATTTATTTATTTATTTATTTATATATTTATTCATTCATTTATTTATATATTTATTCATCTATGTATATTATTTATTTATTTATTTATTTATTTATTTATTTATTTATTTATTTATTTATTTATTTATTTATTTAT